TGATGACAGTAAGAGGAGAGTATGATGACAGTAAGAGGAGAGTATGATGACAGTAAGAGGAGAGTATGATGACAGTAAGAGGAGAGTATGATGACAGTAAGAGGAGAGTATGATGACAGTAAGAGGAGAGTATGATGACAGTAAGAGGAGAGTATGATGACAGTAAGAGAGTATGATGACAGTATGATGACAGTATGAGGAGAGTATGATGACAGTAAGAGGAGAGTATGATGACAGTAAGAGGAGAGTATGATGACAGTAAGAGGAGAGTATGATGACAGTATGATGACAGTATGAGGAGAGTATGATGACAGTATGATGACAGTAAGAGGAGAGTATGATGACAGTAAGAGGAGAGTATGATGACAGTAAGAGGAGAGTATGATGACAGTAAGAGGAGAGTATGATGACAGTAAGAGGAGAGTATGATGACAGTATGATGACAGTATGAGGAGAGTATGATGACAGTATGAGGAGAGTATGATGACAGTAAGAGGACAGTATAATGACAGTATGACGACAGTAGAGTATGATGACAGTAGATGACAGTAAGAGGAGAGTATGATGACAGTATGATGACAGTATGAGGAGAGCATGATGACAGTAAGAGGAGAGTATGATGACAGTATGATGACAGTATGAGGAGAGTATGATGACAGTAAGAGGAGAGTATGATGACAGTATGATGACAGTAAGAGGAGAGTATGATGACAGTAAGAGGAGAGTATGATGACAGTAAGAGGAGAGTATGATGACAGTAAGAGGAGAGTATGATGACAGTAAGAGGAGAGTATGATGACAGTATGAGGAGAGTATGATGACAGTAAGAGGAGAGTATGATGACAGTATGATGACAGTAAGAGGAGAGTATGATGACAGTAAGAGAGTATGATGACAGTAAGAGGAGAGTATGATGACAGTAAGAGGAGAGTATGATGACAGTATGATGACAGTATGAGGAGAGTATGATGACAGTATGATGACAGTATGAGGAGAGTATGATGACAGTAAGAGAGTATAATGACAGTATGACGACAGTAAGAGGAGAGTATGATGACAGTATGATGACAGTAAGAGGAGAGTATGATGACAGTATGATGACAGTATGAGGAGAGTATGATGACAGTAAGAGGAGAGTATGATGACAGTATGATGACAGTATGAGGAGAGTATGATGACAGTAAGAGGAGAGTATGATGACAGTATGATGACAGTAAGAGAGGTATGATGACAGTATGATGACAGTAAGAGGAGAGTATGATGACAGTAAGAGGAGAGTATGATGACAGTAAGAGGAGAGTATGATGACAGTATGATGACAGTAAGAGGAGAGTATAATGACAGTATGACGACAGTAAGAGGAGAGTATGATGACAGTATGATGACAGTAAGAGGAGAGTATGATGACAGTATGATGACAGTATGAGGAGAGTATGATGACAGTAAGAGGAGAGTATGATGACAGTATGAGGAGAGTATGATGACAGTAAGAGGAGAGTATGATGACAGTATGATGACAGTAAGAGGAGAGTATGATGACAGTAAGAGGAGAGTATGATGACAGTAAGAGGAGAGTATGATGACAGTAAGAGGAGAGTATGATGACAGTATGATGACAGTAAGAGGAGAGTATAATGACAGTATGACGACAGTATGACGACAGTAAGAGGAGAGTATGATGACAGTATATGATGACAGTATGATGACAGTATGAGGAGAGTATGATGACAGTAAGAGGAGAGTATGATGACAGTATGATGAGGAGAGTATGATGACAGTATGAGACAGTAAGAGGAGAGTATGATGACAGTATGATGACAGTAAGAGGAGAGTATGATGACAGTATGATGACAGTAAGAGGAGAGTATGATGACAGTATGATGACAGTAAGAGGAGAGTATGATGACAGTATGACGACAGTAAGAGGAGAGTATGATGACAGTAAGAGGAGAGTATGATGACAGTATGATGACAGTAAGAGGAGAGTATGATGACAGTAAGAGGAGAGTATGATGACAGTATGATGACAGTAAGAGGAGAGTATGATGACAGTATGATGACAGTAAGAGGAGAGTATGATGACAGTATGATGACAGTAAGAGAGTATGATGACGGTAAGAGGAGAGTATGATGACAGTAAGAGGAGAGTATGATGACAGTATGATGACAGTAAGATGAGAGTATGATGACAGTAAGAGGAGAGTATGATGACAGTAAGAGGAGAGTATGATGACAGTAAGAGGAGAGTATGATGACAGTAAGAGGAGAGTATGATGACAGTATGATGACAGTAAGAGGAGAGTATGATGACAGTAAGAGGAGAGTATGATGACAGTAAGAGGAGAGTATGATGACAGTAAGAGGAGAGTATGATGACAGTATGATGACAGTAAGATGAGAGTATGATGACAGTATGACGACAGTAAGAGGAGAGTATGATGACAGTATGATGACAGTAAGAGGAGAGTATGATGACAGTATGATGACAGTATGAGGAGAGTATGATGACAGTAAGAGGAGAGTATGATGACAGTATGATGACAGTAAGAGGAGAGTATGATGACAGTATGACGACAGTAAGAGGAGAGTATGATGACAGTAAGAGGAGAGTATGATGACAGTATGATGACAGTAAGAGGAGAGTATGATGACAGTAAGAGGAGAGTATGATGACAGTATGATGACAGTAAGAGGAGAGTATGATGACAGTATGACGACAGTAAGAGGAGAGTATGATGACAGTATGATGACAGTAAGAGGAGAGTATGATGACAGTATGATGACAGTAAGAGGAGAGTATGATGACAGTAAGAGGAGAGTATGATGACAGTAAGAGGAGAGTATGATGACAGTATGATGACAGTATGATGACAGTAAGAGGAGAGTATGATTACAGTAAGAGGAGAGTATGATGACAGTATGATAGTATAATGACAGTATGATGACAGTAAGAGGAGAGTATGATGACAGTAAGAGGAGAGTATGATGACAGTATGATGATTGTATAATGACAGTATGATGACAGTATGATGACAGTAAGAGGAGAGTATGATGACAGTAAGAGGAGAGTATGATGACAGTATGATGATAGTATGATGACAGTATGATGACAGTATGATAACAGTAAGATGACAGTAAGATGACAGTATGATGACAGTAAGATGACAGTAAGATGACAGTATGATGACAGTATGATAGTAAGACGACAGTATGATGAAAGTATGATGACAGTAAGATGACAGTATGATGACAGTAAGATGACAGTATGATGACAGTATGATGACAGTAAGATGACAGTATGATGACAGTAAGATGACAGTATGATGACAGTAAGATGACAGTATGATGACAGTAAGATGACAGTAAGATGACAGTACGATGACAGTATGATAGTAAGACGACAGTATGATGAAAGTATGATGACAGTAAGATGACAGTATGATGACAGTATGATAGTAAGACGACAGTATGCTGAAAGTATGATGACAGTAAGATGACAGTAAGATGACAGTATGATGACAGTATGATGACAGTAAGATGACAGTATGATGACAGTAAGATGACAGTAAGATGACAGTATGATGACAGTATGATGACAGTAAGATAACAATAAGATGACAGTAAGATCGTCGGGGACCGTTAGCACCAAAGAACTCAATATATAGGCAAGACAACAACATCCCTTTCAAGGCGGCCAAATATGTACACACAGGAAGGCCCTTATCAAGGAAGAAGTAGTCTTTACTTATAACCAGATTATCACCAGATGTCTTGACAAACAACACCAAAATAACTGACAAATACAGCAACAATAGAAGACCAGACATTAGCGAGGCATATATCAAGCCAAGTATCAACAGCCAACTAACATCCAATCATTCTCTGCCATCTTGGGGCACACGACGAAACATACAATATACCGCCCCAGTCATCATGGAAACAGGAAAATAGAGGGAATACAGAGAACATATACGACACGCATAGACGAGATAAAACACCTAAATTATTGGGATTGTCTCAAAGCCCTCCAAATGTACTCACTAGAAAGGAGACGAGAGAGACACCAAATAATATACACATGGAAGATACTGGAGGGCCAAGTACCAAATCTACACAGTAAAATAACAACATACTGGAGTAAACGATATGGAAGAAAATGCAGAATAGAACCAGTGAAGAGCAGAGGTGCCATGGGCACAATCAGAGAACACTGTATGAACATCAGAGGTCTATGGTTGTTCAACGTCCTCCCAGCGACTATAAGAAATATTGCCGGAACAACAGTGGACATCTTAAAGAGAAAACTAGATTTTTTTCTTCAAGGAGTGCCGGACCAACCGGGCTGTGGTGGGTATGTGGGTCTGCGGGCCGCTCCAAGCAACAGCCTGTTGGACCAAACTCTCACAAGTCAAGCCCGGCCTCGGGCTGGGCTTGGGGAGTAGAACTCCCAGAACCCCATCAACCAGGTGTGTCTACCAGTAGGTGCAGAAGTGAAGAGAAAGCAGGGAATTATCAGGGGAAAGCGCCAAGCCATTACGACTATATAGCACTGGGAAGGGGTCAGGATAAGAATTTGGGATGGGACGGAGGGAAAGGAATGGTGGCCAACGACTTATAGACGATTGGGGATTGAACGCCGACCTGTATGAAGCGAGACCGTCACTCTACCCTGTGTAATACCAAGATTCCTGTAATGTATTTTGTAATATGTACCATGTGATGACAACTGAATTAAGATACAAGTATTTGTAATATATATTATTACTGGTGTACTGTAGGGACACCAGTAATTGTCCCAACAATTACAAGTTGTAATAGTAATTATCTAATTGAGTGACAGTCAGTAGGTGGAGGAGGCTGTCGTAGCCTGAGCCACTCTGTCCCCGTGTGATGCATTTTATTATGTCAATAATATTTTATTTTGTCAATAATATTTTATTGTGTCAACTTACCTGAGCTGGAGGCTGGCAGGACAGGTAAGGAACAACAGTGATACTTACTCCTCGTTGGCGTCCTCGAACACCTGTTGGAGGAGGACCTCGAGTTAGTCACTGTCTGGGGCTCCTACCTCTGGCAACACCTTTATGTACACACATACACCTTACACATACACTTTATGTACACACATACACCTTGTACATACACTTTATGTACACACATACACCTTGCACATACACTTTATGTACACACATACACCTTACACATACACTTCATGTACACACATACACCTTACACATACACTTCATGTACACACATACACCTTACACATACACTTCATGTACACACACACACCTTACACATACACTTCATGTACACACATACACCTTACACATACACTTCATGTACACACACACAACACACTTATATTATCCCACACCCCTAGTGAATGTTACTACCAATTAGGTAATAACATTCAGTAGATAGACAGATAGATAAATAGATAGCTAGAGAGATAGATATAAAGAGATGATCAAGAGGTTGGGAGTGTGTTAACTGAAGTTCTTCCTGACATTTCTGTGGTTCATTTATGGTTTACAATTTCCATTTATGTCTCCTCGTTCTGTCATTCCTTGCTCTCCTCTGTCTGGTAAATTCTCTTTGGAATCTTGTATGTCGTTATCATTTCTCCTTCATCTCTTTTTCCTTCATGATGGTCAGCCACAGTTCCGTCAGTCTTTTCACAACTTTGTTCCTTTAATAAAGCTCAGGTAATAGTTAGGTTGGACATCTTGAGACATTTATAGTTCGATGCTGTTTCTCTTGAGGGAGGCGTCACATGGCGGGACTGCATACTCAAGAGTGCGTCTCTCCAGGGTTGTATAGCTGTTACTGAAGGTTACCTGGAGGTGAGGTGTGGCGGCCTACAGTGATGGTGGTGTTGTGGTGAGATGTGGCGGCCTACAGTGATGGTGGTGAGGTGTGGCGGCCTACAGTGATGGTGGTGAGGTGTGGCGGCCTACAGTGATGGTGGTGTTGTGATGAGGTGTGGCGGCCTACAGTGATGGTGGTGTTGTGGTGAGGTGTGGCGGCCTACAGTGATGGTGGTGTTGTGGTGAGGTGTGGCGGCCTACAGTGATGGTGGTGTTGTGGTGAGGTGTGGCGGCCTACAGTGATGGTGGTGTTGTGATGAGGTGTGGCGGCCTACAGTGATGATGATGAGGTGTGGCGCCCTACAGTGATGGTGGTGTTGTGGTGAGGTTTGGCGGCCTACAGTGATGGTGGTAATGTGGTGACGTTTGGCGGCCTACAGTGATGGTGTTGAGGTGTGGCGGCCTACAGTGATGGTGGTGAGGTGTGGCGGCCTACAGTAATGGTGGTAATGTGGTGAGGTTTGGCGGCCTACAGTGATGGTGTTGAGGTGTGGCGGCCTACAGTGATGGTGGTGAGGTGTGGCGGCCTACAGTGATGGTGGTGAGATGTGGCGGCCTACAGTAATGGTGGTGAGGTGTGGCGGCCTACAGTGATGGTGGTAAGGTGTGGCGGCCTACAGTGATAGTGGTGAGGTGTGGCGGCCTAGAGTGATGGTGGTGTTGTGGTGAGGTGTGGCGGCCTACAGTGATGGTGGTGAGGTGTGGCGGCCTACAGTGATGGTGGTGTTGTGGTGAGGTGTGGCGGCCTACAGTGATAGTGGTGAGGTGTGGCGGCCTACAGTGATGGTGGTGTTGTGGTGAGGTGTGGCGGCCTACAGTGATGGTGGTGAGGTGTGGCGGCCTACAGTAATGGTGGTGAGGTGTGGCGGCCTACAGTGATGGTGGTGTTGTGGTGAGGTGTGGCGGCCTACAGTGGTGGTGGTGAGGTGTGGCGGCCTACAGTGATGGTGGTGAGGTGTGGCGTCCTACAGTGATGGTGGTGAGGTGTGGCGGCCTACAGTGATGGTGTTGTGGTGAGGTGTGGCGGCCTACAGTGATGGTGGTGTTGTGGTGAGGTGTGGCGGCCTACAGTGATGGTGGTGAGGTGTGGCGGCCTACAGTGATGGTGGTGAGGTGTGGCGGCCTACAGTGATGGTGGTGAGGTGTGGTGAGGTGTGGCGGCCTACAGTGATGGTGGTGTTGTGGTGAGGTGTAGCGGCCTACAGTGATGGTGGTGAGGTCTGGTGGCCTACAATGATGGTGGTGAGGTGTGGCGGCCTACAGTGATGGTGGTGTTGTGGTGAGGTGTGGCGGCCTACAGTGATGGTGGTGTTGTGGTGAGGTGTGGCGGCCTACAGTGATAGTGGTGAGGTGTGGCGGCCTAGAGTGATGGTGGTGTTGTGATGAGGTGTGGCGGCCTACAGTGATGGTGGTGTTGTGGTGAGGTGTGGCGGCCTGCAGTGATGGTGGTGTTGTAGTGAGGTGTGGCGGCCTACAGTGATGGTGGTGTTGTGATGAGGTGTGGCGGCCTACAGTGATGGTGGTGTTGTGGTGAGGTGTGGCGGCCTACAGTGATGGTGGTGAGGTGTGGCGGCCTACAGTGATGGTGGTGTTGTAGTGACGTGTGGCGGCCTACAGTGATGGTGGTGTTGTGATGAGGTGTGGCGGCCTACAGTGATGGTGATGAGGTGTGGCGCCCTACAGTGATGGTGGTGTTGTGGTGAGGTGTGGCGGCCTACAGTGATGGTGGTGTTGTGGTGAGGTGTGGCGGCCTACAGTGATAGTGGTGAGGTGTGGCGGCCTAGAGTGATGGTGGTGTTGTGATGAGGTGTGGCGGCCTACAGTGATGGTGGTGAGGTGTGGCGGCCTACAGTGATGGTGGTGTTGTGGTGAGGTGTGGTGGCCTACAGTGATAGTGGTGAGGTGTGGCGGCCGACAGTGATGGTGGTGTTGTGGTGAGGTGTGGCGGCCTACAGTGATGGTGGTGAGGTGTGGCGGCCTACAGTAATGGTGGTGAGGTGTGGCGGCCTACAGTGATGGTGGTGAGGTGTGGTGAGGTGTGGCGGCCTACAGTGGTGGTGGTGTTGTGGTGAGGTGTGGCGGCCTACAGTGGTGGTGGTGAGGTGTGGCGGCCTACAGTGATGGTGGTGAGGTGTGGCGTCCTACAGTGATGGTGGTGAGGTGTGGCGGCCTACAGTGATGGTGGTGTTGTGGTGAGGTGTGGCGGCCTACAGTGATGGTGGTGTTGTGGTGAGGTGTGGCGGCCTACAGTAATGGTGGTGAGGTGTGGCGGCCTACAGTGATGGTGGTGTTGTGGTGAGGTGTGGCGGCCTATAGTGATGATGGTGAGGTGTGGCGGCCTAAAGTGATGGTGGAGTTGTGGTGAGGTGTGGCGGTCTACATTGATGGTGGTGAGGTGTGGCGGCCTACAGTGATGGTGGTGAGGTGTGGCGGCCTACAGTGATGGTGGAGTTGTGGTGAGGTGTGGCGGCCTACAGTGATGGTGGAGTTGTGGTGAGGTGTGGCGGCCTACAGTGATGGTGGTGAGGTGTGGCGGCCTACAGTGATGGTGGTGAGGTGTGGCGGCCTACAGTGATGGTGGTGAGGTGTGGCGGTCTACAGTGATGGTGGTGAGATGTGGCGGCCTACAGTGATGGTGGTGAGGTGTGGCGGCCTACAGTGATGGTGGTGAGGTGTGGCGGCCTACAGTGATGGTGGTGAGGTGTGGCGGCCTACAGTGGTGGTGGTGAGGTGTGGCGGCCTACAGTGATGGTGGTGAGGTGTGGCGGCCTACAGTGATGGTGGTGAGGTGTGGCGGCCTACAGTGATGGTGGTGAGGTGTGGCGGCCTATAGTGATGGTGGTGAGGTGTGGCGGCCTACAGTGATGGTGGTGAGGTGTGGCGGCCTACAGTGATGGTGGTGAGGTGTGGCGGTCTACAGTGATGGTGGTGAGGTGTGGCGGCCTACAGTGATGGTGGAGTTGTGGTGAGGTGTGGCGGCCTACAGTGATGGTGGTGAGGTGTGGCGGTCTACAGTGATGGTGGTGAGGTGTGGCGGCCTACAGTGATGGTGGAGTTGTGGTGAGGTGTGGCGGCCTACAGTGATGGTGGTGAGGTGTGGCGGCCTACAGTGATGGTGGTGTTGTGGTGAGGTGTGGCGGCCTACAGTGATGGTGGTGTTGTGGTGAGGTGTGGCGGCCTACAGTGATGGTGGTGTTGTGGTGAGGTGTGGCGGCCTACAGTGATGGTGGTGTTGTGGTGAGGTGTGGCGGCCTACAGTGATGGTGGTGAGGTGTGGCGGCCTACAGTGATGGTGGTGAGGTGTGGCGGCCTACAGTGATGGTGGTGAGGTGTGGCGGCCTACAGTGATGGTGTTGAGGTGTGGCGGCCTACAGTGATGGTGGTGTTGTGGTGAGGTGTGACGGCCTACAGTGATGGTGGTGAGGTGTGGCGGCCTACAGTGATGGTGGTAAGGTGTGGCGGCCTACAGTGATGGTGGTGAGGTGTGGCGGCCTACAGTGATGGTGGTGTTGTGGTGAGGTGTGGTGGCCTACAGTGATGGTGGTGAGGTGTGGTGGCCTACAGTAATGGTGGTGAGGTGTGGTGGCCTACAGTGATGGTGGTGAGGTGTGGCGGCCTACAGTGATGGTGGTGAGGTGTGGCGGCCTACAGTAATGGTGGTGAGGTGTGGCGGCCTACAGTGATGGTGGTGAGGTGTGGTGGCTTACAGTGATGGTGGTGAGGTGTGGCGGCCTACAGTGCTGGTGGTGAGGTGTGGCGGCCAACAGTGATGGTGGTGATGTGGTGAGGTGTGGCGGCCTACAGTGATGGTGGTGAGGTGTTGCGGCCTACAGTGATGGTGGTGTTGTGGTGAGGTGTGGCGGCCTACAGTGATGGTGGTGAGGTGTGGCGGCCTACAGTGATGGTGGTGTTGTGGTGAGGTGTGGCGGCCTACAGTGATGGTGGTGAGGTGTGGCGGCCTACAGTGATGGTGGTGAGGTGTGGCGGCCTACAGTGATGGTGGTGTTGTGGTGAGGTGTGGCGGCCTACAGTAATGGTGGTGAGGTGTGGCGGCCTACAGTGATGGTGGTGAGGTGTGGCGGCCTACAGTGATGGTGGTGAGGTGTGGCGGCCTACAGTGATGGTGGTGTTGTGGTGAGGTGTGGCGGCCTAC